ACGACACAGTTCTCGGTAAGACTTGCAGTTTCAAATTCAAACCAGCAAAGCTCTAAGTGACAGTAAACGTAAAATTTGACTGTGTTTTTGTTGATTTGAAGTGCTTGGTGGATAAATGAACAGTTGAAGAATCTTGTCTATTTACGTTCTTTTGCTTAAACCCGGTCCAGACGCCGAACGTTTCATGAGCCGAAGCTAATTCGAATTAAGGCCTACCAAAATTATTTAAACCGCCTGAATTGATTCAGACGCCGATCTTAATACCAACTGAACTGAAAATGCTCATTTCGGTCAAACTGCTTACATTATACGTTATAAGAATTTATGCATTAAGTTCGGTACGTAAACTGTTCGGCGACTGAATCAAAGGCGTTCCAAGGTCGATCCAAACTCGAAATTCCCCGCCGGGCTGGGCGAAAAGGATGGCTGAGCCGTTCCAAATTGAAACAGGCGGTCAAAATTGATTCAGACGCCGAACTTTTCGTGTACCTAATTCAATGTATTGGGTTCGGCTCATGAAAAGTGCGACGTCTGAACCGGGCCTTAGAGTTTTTAATGCGCTTTTTCAGGTCCCGATGGGATTATTGTTGACTCTGTGGATGGCCCATGCAGATCCGGGAACTTCTTCCTGTCAGCTCTCCGCAAGACTAATCTGTACTTACTTGTGATAGAGGACTGGAGCGAATACCGTCAGTCGTACTTTTACAACTTCAACTGCCATATTAGCAACCGTGTATACGATGCAGGCGCATTTCGTATCGTCAACGGCACATGTGCACATATTGAAACACAAACAAGTCTGAAAAAGAAAGAAAAGTGCCCAGCCTTGAAAAACGTTCGCATGAAGTGTAGTTATAATGTAGCAAATTCTTTTAGATTCCCCAGACTTTGGGAACTTTTTTTAGTTACCCTTATTTTGATTCTTCGGAATTGTTGTTGAATTGTGCCTTAATTTATTTTTATTGAAATTATCGAAAAATTATTTCAGTGATTCCTTTTATAATTTTGTCAGTCAATGTACAGTGTTTTGTAATGTCTTCCTCGCTAAGACTCCTTATAATTTTGTCTGAGATGGACGCCGTTGCTCGGATCGGCTCCTAGATAAATAGGTGGTGTCTGCCTCGGTCAACCCAGCCGTTAGTTGAATAGTGCGGCATCTGGTGCTTAAAAGCCAGAAACAATCTCCTCTCGGTATTGATAATTGCCAGTATCAAAAATAAGCAAACCTTGATTCATAGGCAGTCAGTGTATAGAGATTTATAATTTGTTTTCATTCACAGTTCGTACAATGAAGTATACATTCCAACCCTGATTAAATACCAGAAATTCGTTAAATAATATATGCGGGCCAAAATTTATTCAAATTTATTTCGACTCTTCATATTAAATATGAAACTATCCTCGATTTTTTTTTGTTAACTCCTACACTTCAATTAAAAATATAATGAGCAAAATGAATAAAAAGTTGAAACTACTAGATTTCATATTGTGAAAGAAATCCTTCTATTTGGAAAACAGCCTAATTAAATCAATGTTCCCCAATAATATAGGTCGGAAATCGGATGTGGTTCTCATTTACCTATAATTTTTTTTTTTTTTTTTTTTTTGGGGGGGGGGGGGGGTCTCTTTTTCTTATTTTATAAAATTTCTTTTATTTCATATAAAATATTAAATATTTTTTTTTCACTAAATAGAATTTGTATAAAATATTTTTTTTTTTTTTATTTTTTTTTTTTTTTTTTTTTTTTTTTTTTTGGGGGGGGGGGGCGATTTATGGAGCTTTTAGTTTTCTTGAGTAAAGCCCCGGTCAGACCGTTCCAACATTGTCTGAGAGTGTTCGGCATCCCTCAGTGGTATAGTAAGAAGCGGTTACTCCTTTTTTTCGGTGGAATCTCATTAACTTGCGGAGGAACACATTAACGCCTATAACGTCATAGCAGTTTGCCCTTATCTCATGATTAAAATACGGTGGTACCTCGTTAGGATAAGATGATGTCTCCGCTCGAACCATCCCCCGCCGTTAAGTAGATAGATACTCATCCCCAAGCCGGACTCGGTGTATTTGAAACCAAGATGGCTGCCCCTAAGGGTTGGTGGTCAATCTCGACCATCTTACACACAGTCTACACAATAACATTCCGGAGGTTCTTCTTGTGTTCGCGGTTTTTCCATAATAGCTACTTGACAGCATAGTTACTATGTTTGTGTTTGGGGACTAAATATGTTGAGATTAATCCTTCTAGTTCTCAAAATATTAAAGCTGTGAGGTCCCTCCACTCTTGTCACTAAGGCCTCGGGTCTTATGTTTCCGGCCGTGGTCATTTGCTATAGGGAAAAGCCATGTTGTCGAGACAATCTCGTTCCCATAGGCTGCGCTGAGGAAAAGAGTTTCAGGTCGAGAATGTGAGCCCTACTCTCTCAACTTTGTTGTACTCGCTCAAGCACAGTGGAACAGTGTGTATTATTTCTTTAGATATGGTAATAAACAATTATTGGTTGAGGTTTTTGTGATATCCGGAATAATCTAGGTCGATGTAAGTGTTATCAGCCGAAGCTGGATATCACAAAAACCGAATCTAATAATTTTTTTATTATACTGTTTCGAAATGAATAAAGACAAATACACCGTTACACGAAACTGTTTTGACATTGCTCTTGGAAATCATGCATTACGCGCGCAACCTACAGATTAGTCAGTTATCTTCTAGCAGATAACTAACTAATCTGTAGGTTGCGCTGATTTCCAATATTAACTGTAGGCTCTTAGCCAATGANTATTAAAGCTGTGAGGTCCCTCCACTCTTGTCACTAAGGCCTCGGGTCTTATGTTTCCGGCCGTGGTCATTTGCTATAGGGAAAAGCCATGTTGTCGAGACAATCTCGTTCCCATAGGCTGCGCTGAGGAAAAGAGTTTCAGGTCGAGAATGTGAGCCCTACTCTCTCAACTTTGTTGTACTCGCTCAAGCACAGTGGAACAGTGTGTATTATTTCTTTAGATATGGTAATAAACAATTATTGGTTGAGGTTTTTGTGATATCCGGAATAATCTAGGTCGATGTAAGTGTTATCAGCCGAAGCTGGATATCACAAAAACCGAATCTAATAATTTTTTTATTATACTGTTTCGAAATGAATAAAGACAAATACACCGTTACACGAAACTGTTTTGACATTGCTCTTGGAAATCATGCATTACGCGCGCAACCTACAGATTAGTCAGTTATCTTCTAGCAGATAACTAACTAATCTGTAGGTTGCGCTGATTTCCAATATTAACTGTAGGCTCTTAGCCAATGAGAAGATAGATAGTGAGTACAATGTATAATAAAAGGCAATTCTGCTAGCCCTGTTGGCCTGAAACGTATCTAGAGTGCATTCTCACACATGGACGCTCGAGCTTAGGCATGCAAAACGTTCTTACACAAGGTAATTCAACACAGGTAGTCCTCTTACCCGAGCTGGTTACCGCATTTTTGCCAACTTTTGCGAATGAAAGTACACGGTGCTTTATTTAGGGGAATAGGCTCTATAGTTTATAAAACTTTCAGTTCACAGAATACAGTCGGATCTCCTGTAAGCGACCACCCCAAATGCCACGAGTTGTTGCTCTCGACGTGACGGTGGTCCACCGGGGGTTTCCCTGAGATCATGCCCTCTCCCTGTTATCCCTTTATGACTCTCGCCTTGTCCGCTCTTAAAAAAAAAGAAAAAAAAAACGCCTGATCGCAGGTTAACCGGGGGTCTCTACCCACTTGTACTTAAGTAGCGCGCACCATTTCTGGGTAAACTGGCATGTTGTAACTGAAAATGCCTCGTATACTCTGAGTTGCATATTAAGTAGAGTCAGTCGGGACACTGCATTCCAAAAGGAATACTGACATGACTTAAATAAAGGATCACAAGGTAAAATGTACTATTTGCTTAGTAGTTAAGAGCAGAGTTCTCTTTAATTGGTAGTGCTTTCTCTTAAATAATGTCACGAGTGCCGTTCCACACTGGACGTAAAATCTATGAAAATGCATAAGCAGTTTGCTTTTGATCAAAAATGCCCCTCACTAACGTCCACTGTCTTACCCGCTAACCGCTTAAACGTCCAGTTGATAGGCCGTGTCCTGATTGTGCTGGGCACTTTTTCAGCACTTTTGGAGCACTATTTTACATCTCCAGCACTCTTGAGCACTTTCTTGGCTTTTGAGCAGAATTTCAGCATTTTTTCGCTTTATGGGCAACATTTAAGCAATTTTTTACAATTTTTCACATGTTTAATGCAATATTTTGTCTTCGAAACGTTTTTAGTAAGCCAAGTTATTAACTTGAATAATTCCACCTTGTCGCCTGACCGTTGACATGAAAATGAACAATTATCCTCTTAACCGTGGGAACAGTCGATTTTGAAAAAAAAAACATTGGTGTTTCACTTCCGGAAACCCATAAGAAAATCGAGGGTTAGAGCTTTGATAAAACTAAGAATATTTATGAACATCTGCTGGGAAAACACTCTTTCGAAATTTCAAGCACTTTTCCAAAAATTTGAGCACTTTTTGCTTTGTTTTGAGTACTTTTTGGCGAATTTTAGAGCGCAATCGGGACATGCCTACCATTTGACGTTAGGCGGGGAGAAGCGAATATGTTGACAGCCCTTTACGACGGAACCGTCGGTAATCGGTTTCTGAAAGATATAGACCCCGGCTGATATCAAAGACAATCAATGGCGCTCCAGACGTGATAAAAGCTGATCATTTCAATTTCATATGCGAACACTAGGGGCGCGATCCATTCAACCAAAATTTCCGACCGGTCCGACCGGGAAGAGTGGTCCACCTCAAAAGGTGGACCAGTTTTTTCGAAACTTTTCCGGTTGGATCGAACCGATCCATAGAGTTTAGGACCGAAATTTCCTGAATTTTTGGTTGAATGGATCCCGCCTCAGGTACCAAGAAGCACGCACTGCGGACCGTGCATTTGCCAACTTCGTCGCCTCGCACAGAACTCTGGGAGTTCTTCGAGAGAAGATGGCGTCTTCAAGTAATCAAGAAGAAGGTAAGGCTAGCAGAAAACATGGTTTTTACTGGGATCATTGTTTTACAGATACATTAAAATAACTTCGAGGTTGGTTATTGTGAGAATAAAGCCCCACAAAGGCGAAATCTGACCTTCTCTTCATTCAAAGTCTTGCTTGAAAGTAGGCCCGCCAAAATTCGTTGTCGCGTCACTACAAGAAGAAACCGAATTTTGTTGCCAAAGAATTCTTAGTTTTCATGTAAAAAACGATTTCTCTTAGCTAGTCGAATGTTTCAAACCATTTTCTGTAGTTGTCCATTGTCGCAGCGAAAATAAGAACGAGGTAAATTTCGGTAAAACCATGCATTCTCTCACACCGTGGAAAGACATGTGGCGGATTGAAGTGTTTGTCGTTTTGGGAGGGTCAGCGGGATTGTGTGGAAGATAAATTGCGATTTCCGCTGACCTTCCAGTAGATTTCTCTAACTTTCTATTTTTCCCTGAAGGAAATGTCAATCTGGAAAGTTCGGAAGGGAATTGCAACGGTTTTGAAGCGGTTATTACCTCGTTTTGTCTTGAAATTTGCATGTAAACCAAACCGACAACGGGAAAAGCGACGCCGCCATATTTTACCTTTGTTTCGCTTACTCAACGCGTTTATTCGGGTTTTGTAGAGTTTTCTATGAGTCAGCGAAAGGAAGCGTTTGAATAACGTAGTTTGCTACAAATCTTGTTAGAATCTAAATGTATTTTTTGTCCAGTTTTTTGTTAAAGTCGTTTTCGTATCTTGTGTTTAATTTCGTTTTCCACGAGTTGTACATGCGGTCAAGAAATTATAAATTCAGCTTGCGAAAGCTTGTTCCTTGTAAGATCGTCCAAGGCTAGAGGCGTTGGATCTTGAAGCATGACCCTGCTTTTACTGTTAATTTCCGGAAAAATCGGTAGCTTCAGTCAAGAAGCAGATTCGATGTTTCATAATCGTTGTTTTCAGACAAATGTTTGCTGAAAAAGAGAAATGTACATGTAAGCTTAAATGTTCATTGCTCGTGTCCGTGCGCTGGAGTGAGTTGGAAGTGTAATTTTCCACTTGTATTGATAAATTTTTTCCATCTCGCTTTCTTGTGCTAAAATGGCCATTTAAAAACCACTTACAGTGTATACAAGCGTTTACACATAGAACTGACTGCCTCCTAAAATAAAGAATATATTTATATGTGTGTTAAATTATCATCAGTGTATAAAATTTGCATCAAAATCCTGAGGATTTAGCGTTTTGGATCTTTGCATTTCCTTGTTTTGCTTCACATATTGTGGCGTGATAAATTTAAGAACTTCTTATGTAAAAAATTCATGATTTACAATCACTACTGTGAATTGAATACAATAAAAATACAGTGTAGGATCAAAAATATAATTTCATTTTTCCCATTGAACCTCCTACAGTAGTTTGTACCTTGAGCTCTGTTTGACTGAATGCCTGCACCTTGAAAACAATTTTTGGCTTAATATTTGTGTCACTCCTATTCAGTGCAAGGCCAGCAGATAACTGCAATCCAGAGTTCTTTAAGTTTCTTATCAAATTAAGTTGTGTTCCCAGTGATTTCTCTATGTTTTTTGAGTGAGAATTATTCACATGTGTCATATATAGCTATGACGGGCTTCTAGGAAGCATAAATGGTATTTTCTTACTCTGTTATTTGTCGAGCATAGAAGGTCAGTAGGACTAACAAAACAAACAAACTCTTTATTTTGACTGGTCAACACCCATGTTCCCATGGTGTGCAAAGAAGATATTTTCCTCACTACTCATATTTGCTACAATAATTTATGAATCCCTTTGATGTCACTTTTTCACACCTTTAAGAGTTCCAGATTTGGCAAATTAAAGCAAGTTTCCAAATTGTAAAGAACCATTGGCACCATAATATGAAAGCACTACTGAAAAGGTTCCATTTGATTTGTTACACCAAATGATTGTGTACAGACATGAAATCTATGTTACAGGTCAAAATAATTATTATATTCCAGTGATCTCCCTAAATTTTACCTCAGCAGGTAAGGGATCATTCTTGACTGGTAAGGCCAAGGGGCGAAGGGAGGGGGCTTCGCGTTCATGAAGGCTTTTTATTAATTTTTTTTTGAGCATCCTGTCAACCAATTGACCGAAACGTATTTTAAACACCTCAAAATAAAGAATTTTTCGAATGAAGGCTGCCTATTGCCGCTAGGGTCAATTTAGTAACACAAGCCGCAGAAGTTGTGAACTTTCCTGCTGGTCGAGAAAGTTTAGAATTGGGACAGAAGCCCAGGAAAAATTGTTTGCCTGCAGTGCTTTGAAAGGAACTGACCGTGGCAAAAACAATATTTTACTCACTCACTGCGCTCGTTTGTAAAATATTGTTTTGCCACTTGAAAATAAAATTCATATCTTCGCGCCTACCGTGTAATATCCTCTATTTATTTACATTTTCCTCTTCTGATGTTGAACACACGTTTTAGCAGAAAGCCAATCAAGTGTGAAGCATGCATTTATGCAAATATTTCTGGGGTCATTTCACATTTATGTCACAGTTGAACTTGAATAAGGCTATTTATTTTATCCAAGATTTGGAAAAATATATGGGGAAGGAGAGGATTGAATTTTTAATACACAAAAGTTACTGGACCAAAAAAGTAATTGACAGTTTAGAAGTCTCAGTCTAGACCGACAGGTCTGCTTTCCTTTATCAAGATTTTACAAATGCTTAGGTATATATCTTAACAAATGTCATGTCACGGAAGCGCGAGAATGTCTGGCTCAAAGCTAATATAAATAAATGCCACTTTGGAAGAATGTGCATATATTTGTGGCAAATTTTCTCAAGTGCAATTTTTGTAACCATTTGATTATTAATTTACTGCATTCATGCCTGTCCCCCTACCCTTATTGTCAGAGACTTTTCACACGCAGTTTCTAAAATCTTCTTCAGAGAATCTTCAGAGGCCATGGTTACATTTTCGCAGACTGTGAAGGCATTTCAAATCTCTACTTTCTTTAACTACGACTAGAATTTTTAAAAATGGGGGACAGTTTTATCCTCCAACACAGACATTCTTTTTGGCTCGTCACGCAATGGGAAGGAACGGGTGATGAAGCCTTAGGCCGGTAGGCTTGGATATATTTTTGGTATGGCATGACCAATTGTCCCACAAGCTGGCAGCCCAATGTACCCCCATTATGGGGCTCTTGTTTTGACTGAGATGTGTGACAAATCTCATTGACAGATAACTTTGCATAATTTTTTAAAAATTTATTAGCAGCCAAAGAGGTGTTAACAGAAAAGTCAGCAGATTTAAGTGAAGGAGCAACAGATAATGGGCCTTCAGAGTCAGCTGTTAAGGAAAATGAGTTAACTGTTGAACAGCCAGAAATGGTACCAATACCACCAGGAGAAGAGAATTCCGAAAACTCAGCTACCACAGAAAATCAACAGGTGAGAGGGATTATCTAGTACATATCCTGGGTTATTACAGCTTAACTGGCCATATTGTTAAAGCATCCCATCTCTTGTGCTCTGAAATCTCCTAGTAATGCTGGTAATGTATATAATTTTTACGCAGGCCATCCACAACGAAAGACACTTTTTACAAACTACTATGGATCCAGTGTAATAGCTGATTATGATTGGCCATACTACTGTAGACTTCTGTTTCCCCACAATATGATTTTTTATTTTATTTTCTTTTTTTGCTAACGCTGAGTCAATTCAGAGAACAAAAAAAGTGGTACTACAGTATATTAAATCATGCAAAAACATCAAAATCAAAGAGGCAACAATAAGCAACTTAAAGGTTATTAAAGTTTCTTTTAGCAGCACTGTTATCACTTGTTGTCAGTCAGCAGTCAGTTTGGTTGCTCGAGTGCAGTCAGCCTTGTTTGCACCCGCTCCATGTCCTTAGTACAGCATTTTCCTGATGGCCTCATGTTTCATTTAGCCTTCGTATTGTCCTTTTACCCCACATCTCCTGCCATATTTTTTCACTGAAAATCAGTGTGACAGGTGCCTGGTTCCATTGGTGTGGGAGCTCATAGCTGAGAGGCTCGGGTTTACCAGCCATGGGCCAAAACTTTGTCTAGGGGGTTGGCTTTGCCTAAAGTGGAAGTACCCACCTCCACTAAGCAATGCAATATTGTTTTAAAGCATGGTGTACTAACTTCCTCTTTTTGTCTAGGATGCTGGCCAAGTAGCTGCAGAGTCAAATGTGTTGTCACAACAGGAAGACTCAGCTTCGGCAAATGACTCTGAGTCACAACAACCTCAAACCTTGTATGTAGCCATTCAGCCAGGAGCTGAGTCTGGGCAAGGGGATCAGCCAGCAGTGTATCTGGAGGTGGTCGAAGCAGGTAGCGGTACAGAGGTCACCTCTAGTGATGGGCAGGTTAATCTGGTTCAGGAGGAGATGGTTATTGATAATGGTAAGCAGGCTTGTATATTAGTGAGTGTGTGTCATAAATTTGTAGTTGTTGAACTATAGTGTCTGTCAAAAAGTTTTTTTGTCGCAGGCTGATAATAGATATTAGGCAGCTTTGGGACTCGCACCAAAGGCACAAGTTCTTGAGGGCTGAGGCATCTCTGGGACATTTTGTTAGAGTCTTGGAAATGTCCCAGACGTTCCACAATAATGCACGGTTCTAATGTATCACAGATCTAATCCTGTTTAAATATGCGTTCAATGTTATTCAAAACTGGGAAACAAATGTGTTACAATTTTATTTGATTGTACTTATTTTTTGTTCGACCCTATGGTAGAAGGAACTGGCCCTTATTGACAGCCCTGAAAATGTGAAGACTTGGTGGTCGCTTATGGGAGGTGGTCATTTACAAGAATCGAACCACAAGGGGTCTCTTCCGAGAAGAGGTCTGGACACATCAATTTTAGGAAAGATAATTCATTGTATCCAATTTCCAACCTGCAATATGTGTAATTCCAAGTCGTCGCTAAAAGTTCTTCATAATCTCTAAGTAGCAGAGTACATTAAGAACACAGAGATCAGACGACTCATCAGGTGGTCACTTGCAAGAGGTTAAAAGCAATGGAAAATGATTAAACCCTCAGCCCCGTAACATGGTTGCGGTCACTTACAGAAGGTGGTCTTTTACAAGAGGTTCCAACTGTAAGGCTTTGACTGGGAAAATTTTGGTGTTTTGGATAGAGTGACTTATGGGAGGTGGTTGCTTACGAGAGGTGATTGCACGTGGAAGTTCGATTGAACCATTTGGGTACTGAAAAAATGCTTCCTCTGTCTCATTTTCACCTGACTGATAAGAATGTCATATTAATTTTGTACAAATAGCTTGGTGACATTAAGTCAAGTGCCATGCGTTGCTCCCTTGTTCATGGAAGGAGTGAACACATATTTAGCTGGAAACTCTTGCCAGAGCCTGTGCCATCAGAATGTCTTTTTTTTGGTGGTGTTGAGAAGAAACATTGTACACAGGACTGAAAACAAAATCTGAAGCAATACTACATGCAGTATTTTTACATCTTTTTCCCATTTTCAACAGCATCAACTACAGAAGTAACTACTATTCCAACATCAGTTCTTAACCAAGTAATGGACCAAGCAACATTGTCAACAATGCAGGCTGAGATGATAGCTGTTCAGGTCCTTTCCCAGTCTGCCACAGGTGACATTCAGTATCTTCAACACCAATCTCCAAGGTTCATTCCTATTGTCACATCAGCAGACCCCAGTACTCTTAACTCACTTCAAGCCACTCTCAGTCAAATGCCACTTGCTACCTTGCAGGTGAGAACGGTGGATGCGTCAATGTTGTGTTTGAAATTATTTGAGTTAAAAGGGTTAAAGAAATAATAGAGAAGTGAAGCCCTGGAAAAAATATACCCTCTTTAGCTTAAATTAACTGTTATGTGTAGATTCTTCATCCTAATTTCCTTAGTTGAGCTTAGGGAAGTAAGGGGAATTTGGCAAAGGTCAAGTCAAGAGCCTTTTTTTCACACTCTCCTTTGCAACATGGGCATCACCATAGAAATCTAGGGCATCTCATAAGCCATCTGTAACTCAATAATTATTCCAACATCCATAAGATAACAAGCAAGTCATGGGTTCTGTCCTACTGGGAACTCGCTTATGCTATTCTTAAGGCTCATTCTTTTGAAGTTTTCAACAGTTGTAGATATAAAGTTGTTTATTGCATTTTGCTGCATTTAAAGTGTAACACATGGCTTCAAAAAGTCAAATTATTGTTGTTTTCTAGATAAGCCCCTCTCAGCCAGGTGCCACAACCCAGACCATTCAATTACCTGGTGGCCAAACTATTCAAGTGCCACTGAGTGTCACTCAGATGTCGCCTTTAACATCAGCAACAACTGACTCTGGAGCGGTGGCATCATCAGGAGTCCCTACGACAACTACTGAAGCTATAATTGCTGCTGCAACCAGTGCAGAGGCTGCAGCTGCTGTCGCTCAGGAGCAAGGAGCCACTCTTGTCACTGTTCACCCTGCAGTGATTGAGGCACCAGTAGATGTGGCAGAAGGGCAGGCAAATGAAGGGGAGGAAGTTGAGGGTGATGGTATGTGTTTAGATGAATATTACAAGAATTTTTAGGACTTGTCACAAATACATGGAGGATTTGACCTTCACATTATTATTGTCTCCTTTCTGCTAGTGTTCAGATTATCAACAGTGAATTCCAGTAATGATTTTTTTTCTCATTGCAGACGATGGCAAGCCAAAGTACACATGTGAGATATGTGGAAAATCTTATATTCGTTCATGGTCATATTATGGTCACATGAGAGAACATGCATCTGGGGAGAAACAGCACAAGTGTGAAGTATGTGGCAAGATCTTTAACTATGCAAGCAATCTTCGCCAGCATATGCTCATACATACAGGTAATTTTGATCGGGGCTTTATGTAAAGATAGTAAGTAGGCTGTACTTAAAGAAATACTGAAGGGAGCTTCATACTCTGAACCTGTGAAATGCAGGTGCCCAGTGTATAATTTCTATAAAATAACTAGTAAGATTTCTTAGTCGCCTGAGAGCAAAAGTTAGATGTGAGGGACTCCTGTGAGCTCACAAAAAGGTAGCTGCACAGCAGTGTATCTTTAACCTCTTGATAACAAGGCTAACCTTGTTTGTGTAAAACATGTGGTAGTTTTTTCATCATTTCTGCATACAGTGTAAGTATCTGTTTTGCTTCATCATGTGTCATAAGGCTTTTGTTGCATTTTGCTGTTACAGAGTCCAGAGGCTTGTTATGTCCCTGCTATTGCTTTGGCTGTGTATGAGGTTGCAGGTGTAACCCCTTGCTTCCCACTGATCCTGAACATAACTTGTGAGCAAAAGTAAAGGAAAATATTACATCTGCAAAGTTAATTTAGGAGAAAAGACTTTGGTGACATTAGAGATAGGATAATACAGTGGAACCCGTTAATGCGACCACCGTTGGGCCATAAAATCCTGGTTGTAATAACGAGGTGGTCGCATTAACGGGGTCCTCAAAATAATAAAATGACTCAATGGTTTTTACGTTTGGTGTGAAAGAATATGGCTGTAATAACGAGGTGGTCTTATAAACAGGGTGGTCGTAAGGCGGGGTTCCACTGTAATACTCTGTTGCATATATTTTATTACAGGTGAGAAGCCGTATGAGTGTGAGTACTGTGACAAGGCATTCAATAACCCCAGCTCCCTGCGATCCCATGTTCTGTCACATTCAGAGGACAGGCCTTACATCTGTGATCATGAGGGTTGTGGCAAAGCCTTCAATAACCCTGGATCACTCAGGTAATATATTCTACATGAATTTTCAAGGTTCTTTCATATGTGTTTCGTTGGGTTAATGCAGTTTACCAGATAAGGGAATTCCTTATCAGCGTGCAAAGAAAGTCATGTCTGATAGTCCGGGGCTTGTGGATTTTGCTATTGGGCTAGTGATTTTTATTCTTAACTTGCCCAACGGGCAAGTGCTGTTTTTTGGGGAAATTCAAATTACAGAAGGATTGTAATCAATCCTGCTAATCAAAAAGGGTTTTTGGGTTAGTTGAAATGACTTGTGGGCTAGTACATGCTAGCTACAGCTTGCCTGAATGGCAGGCTGTAAAACTGACTTTCTTTGCACCCTGGTTGTATTATTTTTATTTTTTTTAGGGAAAGGTGTTGTTTTTCCAGCAAATATCCATACTTCCCCATGGCTGTTGTTGGGGGATTTATACCCCCTCCCCCCCTCTCCCACCAATTCCACTACCACCCACTACCCACGTATCTGGAAAGTCCAGTTTTGCTTCACTCTCTCCTTTAAGAATTTTTGTCTTGAAAGCCCCTCCCTCTCTGAATTCCAACAACCCTCCACAGGTTGGATATGAATATTTTCTGGGACCACACATTCTTCCCTGTACACCTTCACTACCAAACGACGGTGGCAGCAATTCAGAGCATTTTCTCGCAGCCTTGGTGCACATAACGAAAAGATTTTTATCACATGTTTTAAAATATGCATCTTACATATTGGCAGGGTTCATCGTCGAGTGCATCAGGAGGAAAAGCCCCACAAGTGTGATGTGGAGGGCTGTGACAAAGCCTTCAAGACACCAGCTGAACTGTCACGCCATGCATTCAGACACACTGGAGAAAAACCCCATAAATGTGATCAATGTGATAAAGCTTTCATTAGATATGATGACCTCAAGCGACATTACCGCATTCATACTGGTAAGTACTCCCATGTATGATAACTTTAGAGTCTGTACGTTTTGATACCTAAGACCATAAAATATTGAGAGGAGTGTTCCATGATGCAGTCAGAGTCAAGCGTGAGAGTGACTCGTTAATTTTAGTTTGGCTATTTTTTTATTATTATTATTATTTTACTTCGTTCAGAATGAGTCTCAGACAAAATACTCTTTTGTTTTCTTGCACTGAAGTTCCAAGTGAGTGATAAGTACTTTACTATTTTTATAGAGTAAGCCACATTTGGAATACCCTAGACTGCGATCAGTCTCCCTTTTTCCTCAGGTGAGGGGAATGCATGCGTGCGTGAGCGTTGAGTAACGAAGCCGCGACACCACCTTCAGTCACGCGCGTGGTCGTGTCTCGCACGTTTCGCTTGACGGAAAAATGGTCGTAAATGCGAACTTAGAAAAAGGAGTCAATCGAAGTCTAGGGATACCCCCTTCAATTTCCTAGCCACTCTATTATAAATAAAATCAGCTTGGGCCCGGTTCCTAAAAAGGCCGATTAGTGCTAATCCAGGATTAAAATTTTGTTCCATTTTTGTTTTTTGTACTTTCTTATGCATTGCTTGGAGTAACGTTTTGTTATTATTACTGTGTCTAGTGGTAAAGGCTGAACAGATTTTGTAAGCTCGAGTTGCATGTTCGTAGACAAGAAAACCTTGCTTAAAATTTGGCTTAATCTTAATGTCAAGTGGTTTAGAGTTAAGGAGTTCTAAGCGAAATCAACCTTTTAGTAACAATCATTGAAAACGTTGCATTATAGGCGAGAAGCCTTTCAAGTGTGACCAGTGTGATTTCGCCTGTATCCAGTCATTTGACCTGGTGAAGCATAAGTTCACCCACAGTGGTGACAAGCCTTACAAGTGTGACGTCTGTCCGAAACAGTTTACACGACCAGCCAGGCTGAGAGATCACATGAGGACCCACACTGGGGAAAAGCCTTTTATATGTGATGTGTGTGGTAAAGGTTTTGCTATTCAGACTGGACTCAAGTCCCATCAGGCAAGTGCGGTTGTTTAAGGGCAAACGACGTTAGAATGTATAATTTTTGTACAATACGTTGAGAGAAAAAACTTTAGAATGATTAAACTGTACTTAGGCTTTCGTAAAAGCTGACACCCCATGACCTTGAACAAGGACAGTTGTCAAGGAACATCTTTTCAAATTTAGCCGTCTTCAATAGCGGAAAAAGTTCAGGAGGAAAACCTGTCCGCGTATTGCGGCTTTAGACAACGGAAATTGTTTAATCAGCTAGAAAAACTTGTTCTCGCAACTGATGCTTACTTTACATGTCTTTACAAGTTACCTGATCAGAATAGCCAGTTCCAACAGACGCACCTCCTAAGTTTCCTTCATGTAATCCTTTCCTACATGTAATGCTTGAAAAAAGTTTAATGCTGATTCAGATGCTGGCATTATTTGTTCTGCAGGCGGTTCATACAGGGGACAAACCTTTTAAATGTGTTGAGTGTGACAAGACATTCCGTACTCAGCTTGAGCTGCAATCTCACATGGGACGACACACAGGAGTGAAACCATTTAAATGTAACATCTGTGAGAAGGAGTTCATATCCACAATCACCTTTAAGCGACATGCCATTGTGCATTCTGGTATGATACGCTCTTTTGCCTTTTAGTTAATTTGGGTTTTAAGGTGCGAATAATCTGTCCACAGGCGTTGTCCTTTTTTCTTTAACAACTTGACATTCGAGAGAGCGAGCGCGAAGCGCGAGAAAAAAAGAAAGAACCATTTTCTCCTTTCCGCACCCCCACCCTTTTGTGCTTGTGGTGAATAAAGCTTCCGCGGTTTTTATTTTCATACTCGCACTTGACGTTCTTCTAAAGAGAAAACAGAGGATCTGTGAACAGGAATGCCGCACATCACTTTTCTCTACAGTAGACGTCGACTTTTGACTTTTAGTTACTGTGCTTGGAAAAAAAAACGACAATAAAAGGTCGTAGAAAGTTAAAGTAGGAAACGAAAACTAGCGATACGCTTGTGGCAGAGGTTTCGTATTTTTGTGAAAACCATGTTATTAACATTTCCTTTAGTTTCTAATTGTTTTAGTCATGTGCAATCAGTAGGACTTGTCATTCGTCTTGTAGGCTACAGTTGTATTCTGTT